TCTCCTAATCTCATGTAACTTCTTTTTTATGACTCACATAAAAATTATCTTCATCATGTCCTAGTATGGCAGTTGTAGGTGGCACAATACCTCTTTGTGCTCATCAGTCCTGCAGGTATAGAAGGCCTTATCCTGTAATTTCAAAGTCTACCCCTGAGGGCTTCCTCTTCTGTTGATCTGTGCATGAGACCCATAAAAAGTGACAAGCACAGTAGTATTAATGCCTCCAGAGTAGCTCTAAGCCCATGATGGATGAGAGCAGGGAAGCAACTATCCCAGCTTCTGACATGCTTCCCACACTTTCTTCCAGAATTTTCCAGGGGGTATTGAGCCACTGTGTAGCCTATTTATTGGATTCCTTTCCTTCCCTGTCTCAATTCCTCCTGGCCCTATGATACTCTCTAGATCCATTCACCAATGAACCATTCCAATGTTGTACTAGAATGATGGGCTAAAAGAATGATCACCACATTTTGGAGTTTATAATCTAACATGAATGGTGGGCATTACTGTTAATAGGTAAAATATTATTAATGTATAAAATATTACTATTCTCTTAGACACTTGTACAGGATATGTTGTTAAAAGGAGAAACTCAGGCTGGGGATATAAAATTATAATATCTGAATACTTTCTCCATAGTTATTGATTTTCCTTTTTTTTTCCTTGTGGGGGAGGGGGGAGGGTAATATTACAATAGTTTAAATAAAATCCTTTAGTAATTCAACCATCTCTGAATGGCTTATTTTTTAATGTCATAATGCTCTTTTGAAAGAGTTCTGATAATCAGTACTCAGAGACGCATGTGAAAAAAAACATTTGTTCAGCAGAGGAATAATCCATGCTCACCCTCTGATCAGACAAAAGCCACAGAACAGAGTATCATCACACGGATAGTACCAATGACACAGAGAAGCTCCTGGTATGTCTGGAGTGACTGCTTTTTTGTACAAGCTTGCAGCTGACATGAAGGTTAAAACGCTGCTTGGTACACGAACATGTAGAAAACGTAAATTGGGCTGTTGCAGCAGAGAACAATTCTGTATTTTTGAAGTAGCAGACTCATCAAAATCCAGGCCTACTATTTTAAAATTTTACAGTTGAATATTTTGTCCAGATTTTCAAAAGCCACATTGTAAGTGATTTCTGCGGTGCTATTTTGTTGTTTTCAAGTCTATGCAAATATAGTGATGGGTGAAATAAATTCTTAATACATAATTTTAAAGCATTTTGCACTTCTTTTAGCTAAGTGTGTTCAAAGACAAAATGTGCATATAAGTGTGTTTGTGAGAGAGGTGCTGTTAAGTAAAGAAACATGTACTAAGGAAATAATTTTGCAATTGGGAGATAATAATTTCCCAATATGTTTTCTTTCACTGAAAATAAAAGATATATGACAGTACTGAATTGATACATATATTGTTTTACACTAATAAAAACTTTGTTTAGATAAAGAAACACGGTTTCAGAGTCTTAGTTTTTGTTTTGTTTTGTTGTCTCTCTTACTTTGTTTCTCTCTTGCCAAGGTACTTCTCAGGAGAATGTTGTTAAGTGCAAGAACTAAAACACACTGGATTACAAAAGATACAAAGTAAACAAATTATTCTGAAATAAAATTATCAGAATAGTATTAGGACATATTTGTGATATAGCAATAGATGTTCTTGAATAACCACATTAGATTACACAGTCTAGCAGTGGGTTTCACAACAACTCTAATTTCAAAGCAAAGATGAGCAGTATTCAAGATATCTGTGAAATGTGTATTACGATGCAAAAATACTTCTAGTAGTGATGGCGTGTAGGTACTACCAATACTACTATGGTTTATTACCTACATTCATAATTAAAGAACATGCTGGAAAGAAAGAGGTAATTTTGTATGTTTTACTAATCAAATTCACAAACCTTCCGAGTTCCTCTTGAAAGTAACAACGTGACACTGGCTGATAGTGCTAAAAGGACTTTGGGGATGTGCTAACCCAAAACCTGTTTTCACAAAGTAATGACTTGATGTTTCCACAAAATCAGTTTTTATTTTTCACCTTGGTACTAATTCAAATGGAAATGTAAATTAATAAAAACTAATAAAATGACCTAACAGCACAGGAGTTATAGAGAGTATGATAAACTGGAGAACACGGGCTCCTTCTGAAAGAGACTGCATATGCATGTCAAACGAAGAGTCTTAGGGTCCCCGTTAGGGTTACCAACTTGTAACCTCTGATAAAATGTGTAAAACAAAAAGGCAGTTTTAAATATTTTAGATTTTTGAAAGCTATTTGCAAAGTATTATCTTCAGTCTTTACCACCTACCTATATTGCTATAGGTAAAGCAGATTAGATTATCTCTGTTTCACAGGAGGAAGACAGATGAAGAACAATCTCTGCCACATATTCAGTTAGAAAAGCTAGATATTGTAGGCAGTATTCCACTTTCCTTTAAAGGATAAGTAATTGCTGAGACCTTGTGTTGGTGAAGCATTTTTAGGAAGGAAGGAAGAAAAGAAGGAAGGAAAGAAGGAAGGAAGGGAGGGAGTCAAATTTAGTGTAGTGTATGAGCAAACAGTAAAACTTGCAAATGAATGCATCAGATAATAAGTCCCCATGTGCTGAGTTGTCTACTATGTGCATTGTGCTTAATTCCTGACTGGTATGTATTTCTAGTCTTCATAAGAATTCTGCAAAGTAGGTGTTGGCATCCATAGAAGATACTCAGACTTGAATTAGACAAGAAAAGGAATCCGATTAAGGAAATCTTAAAGTTCTCACTGGCACCATATAGCCAAAACATCATCATAACCATTCTCATTCCCACTTCCATATTGGCCTGAACTCTATCTCCTAAAACCAATGTTAAGATAAAAATAGTATTTTAATCAGAAAGTTAGTATGTCAGTTTTAGTAATTAAACATGCCACAGAATCTTTGGTCTCTGTATCTGTTGACCTTTAGGATGTCAAATTGTACAGGTTAATTTTATTCTGTGGATTTTTAAAATTGGAATTATGTAATCCATACTTTATAGAAGACAGAAGCAAAAATATGGCAAAACTTCATTTTGTATAAATTTTTTATCATTACTTAGTCAATTGAAAATAAAATTTAAAAATATCCATCCAAGCATCAGTATCAATTAAATAAGTGTTAAAAATCTTTCTCCTAATGCACTTTAGGAAAATTTGATGCTATTTTTACTTTTTTACAGAAAAGCATATTGATAACAATCAATATATCATTTTGAATTGTCTTCACACATTATATACCTTTTTAATTTTTTGAATCTTCAAATAGTTAAAAGTAATGATATATTCTATTGTCATTTAAATTCAAAATTTAAATAGATGTTTTGCATTCTAAACTTCAGAAATGAAAGTAGAAAATAAAATAAGTCAATATTTACAAAGAAATCCCCGGGGAGTGTTAAACTTAAATGTTAAGCATGTTTATGTCACTGCAGAATAAAAATGTACTTTTTCTTTTATCTCTACAACTTCTAATTTTTCACAAAAGCTTATGTTACCATCATAATACAAATTAAAATTATGCTTAAAAATATGTCAGAATTTCTTACACATTTTCTTATTCTGCCCACAGAAAAATCAGAGTTTTATTTCTTAAGTGGAGAAAAGTCAGGTAGGGCGATGGACAAGAGAGAAAGCAACTGAGATTTCATGCAACATGGTAAAGAAAGCCGCACATGTCAAGATGACATCTGAGCAAAGACTGAACAAGAAATAGAGCCATAGGAAAGGGAGTGTTGGAAGAGGCATCCGGGCAAGGGCAGAACAGAAGTTGTCACAGAAGCAGCATGCTTTCAAATAACATTTATCAGCACTTACTATGTATGCATGTTATGATTTTCACTGCTGTGAAAGTACCAAACAACCAAAAGACAGGATTCCTACCTTCAAGGAATTTTAACTGGAGCTCGGTGAAAAGGGAGAGAAACGGGAAAGACCTAGAAAACAATTCAAAGTATTTCTCTTCAGTAAAAAACAGTCCATACCTATTATTTTTTAAATCAACTATTACACTTAATCTAGGGTATTAAAGACAGATTTCATGTTTAGGTAATAGCAAAGCTTGCAATATCTATTCTCCTATAATTTAAAACCATTGGCTGTTCGCATTTAAGTCTTTTCTAATGAGTCAGGATTAAGAATCTAGGTTTTGTCCATAATTTTAATTTTTAAAACTTAATTATATTTCCTTCCACGGTAATATGAAAACAGATCCTCTAACTGTAAATTATTTTTGACGAATCCTCAAGCAGACTGAAACACCAAAGCAACAAAGATCTTGATTTAACATCTATGAAATGTTCTTTAGAACTCCAGATATTGCCATATCTAAAATTTTTAATATATTCTTTTAATAAACACTTTGCTGTTTTGCATTATGATGCCATGACACAAATTCACTTGATACCTCTTCCTCTGTGTGTGAACAGTGTCAATCATGTGCCAAATTTATGTCTACTGCAACTGACGAGCTATCTTTTTACTGACACATCTGTTAGATGGAATGTTTAGTTGATCAAAAGGCATCATGTAGAATAGAATAGTACAATATTAAATGAGCATGATGTCAAGCCAGTCCAGAAAAAGATCACATAAATATTAGACTAAAAAGAACTTGACTCAGGAGAAAGAATCGTTGTTGGATTAGTAAACAGTTGGAAACTGATGGAATTGAAAGGTTAACTAAGCCCCTTCTGGGAAAAAAGTGAGTTCAATCCAGTCCCCTTTCAAGTGTATAACCAATACTCTTAGCTGTCCCTCCAATACAAAATAATTGAGAGCCAATTGACAACCATGGGATAAGCCTTCTGAACAATACGGGTACAGTGAAAATCTATAAAGTTTCACGTATGCATTCAGCAAATACTTAATGTGCAAAGCTAGGAAAGACAATTATAAATAGATATTATTTCTGCCCTCACAAGGCCTATAATTTAGTAAGGCTCTAAGCAAGTAAGAACATTATTCTAAGAATGATCACTTTAGCAGTACATACACTAAAATGGGCATGGTAGAGAAAAGAGTAGTAGGGTCCCTGAGCAGGGATGACAGGCAAATTTGTGAAGGCTTGCAAATTTTCAAAAACTTCACTCTCAAAAATTTGTTATAGAAATTAATATTAAAATTTAATATTAAAATATTAAATTAATATTAATATAGAAAAATATTAAAATGAAATTAATATTACCAAGGGCTATGGTATAGGTTCAAACATAATGTGATATAAGCTGCATTTTAATGCTGTTCACAAGAAAACCACTTTCATATTAATACATAGGTTGAAGGTGAAACAATGGAAATAAATTTACCATCCAAACACTAGTTAGAAAGGACAATGTGAGGATGGCTACAACAAATAACACAGGAAATAACAATTGTTTGTGGGGATGTGGAGAAACCAGAATCTTCATACATTGCGGGAATGTAAAATGATGCAGCTTCTTTGCAAAAACGGTTTAGCAGCTTCTCATAAAATTAAATACAGAGTCACCACATGACCCAGCAATTTCAGTCCTAAGTATATGCCAAAGAGAAATGGAAACATATGCACATGAAATGCACAAGTGCATTGTTTATAATAATCAAAAAGTGGAAAGAGCCCAAATGCCCAGCAGTTGATGAATGGATAAATCAATGTGGCATATCCAAATGGGGTAGGCAGAATAAAGACCCCTAAATATGACCATACCTTAATCCATGGAACCTGTGAATATGTAATCTTACGTGGCAGAAGGTACTTTCCAAATGTGAATAAGTTATGGGCTTTGAGATGGGGAGGCTAACCCTGAAAGATCAAGATGCCCAATGTAATCACAAGGCTACTTATATTTGGAAGGAGGAGAGAGAAGAGGCAGTCACAGAAACTCCATGTGAGAATACCACCTGCTTTTGTTGGCTTTGAAAACTGGAGACTCCACCAACCACCAAGCACTGGAGAAGGTCTCTAAAAGATGGAAAAGACAAGGATGTGGATTCTCCCCAGCATTCAGAAAGGAATGCAGCCCTGCCAACATTTTGATTTTAACAAGGTGAGACTTGTATTGAGTTTCTAATCCATAGAACTGTTGGATAATAAATTTATATTGCTTCGAGCCACTAGATTTCTGGTAACTTGTTATATCAGCAAGAGGAAACAAATGTGTTATTCAGTGGAATAGTATTCAGCTATGAAAATAAATGAATATTGGCACATGTTACAGCATGAGCGAAGATAGAAAAACATATGCTAAGTGAAATAAGCCGGTCACAAAGACCACATATTGTATGATCCTACTTATATGAAATATAAGGAATATATCAATATTCCTTGTTGAGTAAGCAAATTTATAGAAACAGAAAGTAGAATAGCAGTTGCTTAAACCTGAGTGCAGGGGGTTTAGCATACTCTGACTCTAACTCATCTTTTGCCTCCTTGTAATTTTAAGGATGCTTGTGATTACTCTGAGCTGATCTTGATAACCCAGGACAATTTCTGCATTTAAAGGTCAGATGATTACAACCTTAGTTCCACTTACAATCTCAGTTCCTCATTTGTCATAAAGCAACTTATTTACAGGTTCCAAGGATTTGAGGTGGACACCTTTCATTGGCCATCATTCTGCCTATCACAAAAAAGCATTAGTTTTCCTTCTGGAACAGGTATGATACTGTTATTTATTATAGAACACCAACTCATATTGGCTTAGCACTTAAGGAACTTAAATGGTTTATGTAACTGAAAAGTGCAGAAGAGGGAGCTGGATTTAGGATAGGCTTGATATCTTCGAGTGACTGATTTCTGTCAATGTCTCTACTCAGCTGTTTTCAGCATTGATGTCACATTAAGTCACTCACCATCATAATGGTAGTTAAAAAGTTTCATGGGTGCAAAATCATTCCTTCATATCATATCAGCAGTAGAGAGGGTATTTTTGTCTCAGCAACCTGAGCACATATTCAAAGGTTCACTTAGACTGGATCAACTCAGAATTATATACCTTCTGCTGCTCCAATTCTGTGGCCAGGGGAATGGAATGTGGTAACTGGCTCGGACTTGGTCCCAGGTCCCAGAGATGGATTCACCTTCTCCAGAACAAACAGGATCCCAAATGGAAAATTCTTAAGAGAATAAGGAGGAATGGACTGAGGGGGAAAACCAATAAATGTCGATTCTATCTTCACATACCAGTCTCATATCCAGAATTATGATCTTTTATTAACAGAATCATGAATAACCTAGAGTATTTTAGAAGGGCCGAATTTCACCTAACAGCATCAAGTAAAGCAATGCAAATTAAAAGAAATATGTGGACAGTAAGGTCACATTACATGACATATGACACGAGTTACTGAATTGCATTTAGCACTGCTGTCTGCTCTCACTAATGCCAGCTCAGTCTTCCATATTCATTAGGAAGCAAGAAGTCTTTGGTTGGTTTCTGAATGCAACAGAGAGACAGATGGACAATTTTGCTCAACATAAGCATATTTCTGCCTTATTCTTCACAGCAAATATTTTGTCTGTAGTGAATTTCTAACTTTAATTTTAAGTCCTTAAATTATTTGTGGCTTTTTCTTTTGAATCTGTATCTCTGTGATTATCACAGGCTTCATTCCCTTGTCACATTTGTTTACAGTAATGTTTCCACTTGCATGATTTGTCAGCACTTGTATATTCAAGCCTTAATTTTCTTCCCTGCTTTTTTTTAAATTTTTTTTTATTTTTTTTTAAAGATTTTATTTATTTATTTGACAGACAGAGATCACAAGTAGGAAGAGAGGCAGGCAGAGAGAGAGAGAGAGAGGAGGAAGCAGACTCCCTGCAGAGCAGAGAGCCCGATGTGGGGCTCGATCCCAGGACCCTGGGATCATGACCTGAGCCGAAGGCCGAGGCTTTAACCCACTGAGCCACCCAGGCGCTCCTCTGCTTTTTTTTTTAAAGCAGCCCCCACAACAGCCTGGAACCCAGCGTGGGGTTTGAACTCACAACCCCGAAGTCAAGACCTGAGCTGAGATCAAGAGTGGGACGCTCAACTGACTGAGCCATCCAGGCGCCCCTCAAGATTTACTTTCTTAAACCATTTTATAAAACTCATTGAAGTATAACTGACATATGATATTATATTAGTTTTAGGTGTACACCACAGTGATTTGACATTTGTATACATTACAAATGATAACCACAGTAAGTCTAGTTACCATATGTCACCTTACAACGTTCATCAACGTTAATACAATGTCATTGACTATACTTCCCACGCTGGACATTACTCCCCCATGGCTGATTTATTTTATAACTGGAAGTTTGTACTTCTTAATCCTATTCATCCATTTTGCCCCCCATTCTTCTGGCAACCCTCAAAATGTTCTCTGGGCCCATGAGTCTGGGTTTTGTTTTGTTTCTTTGTTTAGATTACACACATGAATGAAATCGTGTGATAAATGTTTTTGTCTGACTTATTTCACTTCGCATAATATTCTCAAGGTTCAGCCAAGTTGTCACTAATGACAAATTTCACTCTTCTTACGGCTGAGTAATACTCCATTGTATAAATATAACATATCTTCTTTACTTGTTCATCCAACTTCTATCTTTTGGCTATTATGAATATATTTACTTAGATGAGTCCTCAAATAATTGATTCATGCGTACTGTTCAGGGTTTATAGTTTATACTGTGAGAGAGATAGGGTAGAGGGTCCTCACTTTACAATATCTACAACCAGAAACTAATGAAAAGTTTCATTTTAATACCTTAGAAAGACACTCATCATGAGCATAACAGAAATTGTACTATGGTATTTGATTTGAAGTGTCCATTTGAATGTGGCTGCCACTTGTATCACTATCTAGAGACTCATTAGATAAATTAAAATATTTCTACCTCGTCTGTTTGAAGACGCAAACAATCTTGGAAGGAGTAATACAAAAATTTTAATATAATATTAGTCATTGATATCTTAATATTACTTAGTTTATAGGTTCTTTCTTTTTTATAGTTTGTTAAGAAGTGGGGCACTGAGCAATTTATGAATAATAACTCAATATACAAAAACATGTTTCCTTTCCCTCTAATAAACTCCCCATCTCCTCAAATAACATCAATCAACTCTCTATTTTATTTGAGATAATTATATATGACAACAAAAAAATCTTTGCGAAAAGGATATTTCTATCAATGGGAGAACCTTACTTCCAATCACCACTTAGGGAACTCAAAGCAAATTTTAGATTCCCTTTGGGTCTTATTGAAATTAGGCACAAAAAAATCACTGTAAGCCAGAAATTTTCCATAGATCTTCCCTGATGATTCTGAATTAGAGATTACACCCACAGGACTGTGGAACTAAACCGTCTCAGTAAATGCATTCTAGTTACTGGTGAGTAGTCAATCCCATTACTTTAGACCTAAGAAGTTAAAATTAAGCCTCTCCTAATTTTGGAAAGGTTTCTATTGCTAATAGGATAATTGCACCTGATTTCAAAGTACAGACTGTAGTTTTCTTTTTTTAAGAACTCATTTTTGGAAATAGAGCAATTCCCTCAGTGGAAAGATGATTAAAAAAAAAAAAAAACCAACTCAACAACAACTGAGTTTTCCCTCTGCCTCAAATTTACTGCTGGATCTCATACTGAAATAATAAGCAGACCTGTCCTTTTTCTTTTTTTTTTTACTTTCATGTGTTCCCATATTGTCTTACTGTATTATGATTATATTAGCAATTAGAAAAGGAGGAATTAACGCTGCATCTACTTATTACCATCAGCCTATTAATTTACACTGGAAATTCCCTCTACACTTTGACATTCTGTGCTATTCTGTGTTGAGTCATCTGAGATTTCAGAAAGAACTCTCATTATCAAATTAATTCTCAAAGAAGGAAGCTTCTGCCCTTCCCATTTCTTCATGAGAGAGATACTAACAGATGTTCTTTTATGTTATACACATACCTCTGTCATCCACTTTGGGGTGTGGAGGGTGCATGACTTTCCTGCTTTGTATGATGCAAATGAAGTGAGAATTTGAAAAAAATGGAGTCATGGACTGCTTTGTACTTACTGTCTTAACCTTTTAAATTTTAATAGAAAGTAACCTTTTCC